GGGTTCTTGTTGAAAAAACTCTTCTAAGTTTTTTAGAAACTCAAATGCCATTTGTTATTATTTCATTGGTTTTGATAAATTAATATTTAAATAAATAATTAAATTAGATAAAAATATTATAATAATATATATTATTATTATAGGTTCTTCTCCATTGGAGATGCTCTTAGTTCTTCTTGGTGTGCTTGATGTGACAAGAGTATTGTAGGAGAGGAGCAAAGAAATGACTCTTAAACATAATGTGAAGATGGTCATTACACTTCTTGTCCATATTCACAACGATCTCACAACAATTTTTGTCCAACACAAAATTGTTCTCTGCCCAACTCGAGAAGATCTGCGAAAAACATTTCTCCGCCACTTTGGATCCATCTCTGGTCAAACACTTTTCTAACTCACCAAATTGCGACACAAGAACAGACTGCAATGGATGATTTGGAAGTCCCGGAAGATTTGGGAGTCCAGGGATGTTTGGTAGAGGTGGGAGGGTTGGTAGTCCTGGAATGTTTGGTAGAGGTGGGAGGTTTGGTAGTCCTGGAATGTTTGATAAAGGTGGGAGGTTTGGTAGTCCCAGAATGTTGGGGAGACTGGGTAAAGAGCCAATAGGCGGAGGAGGAGCATTGGGATCTGAGGAGGAGGAGCAAGCCCAACCAACTTTAGAGTCACCAAAGTTGCCATTGTGGTTGGCTAGATCGGAGGGCTTAGGCCATGATTTTTGTATTCCGACAGTTGTATTTGAGAGAGAGACAAGGGATAAGAGAGCTACAATGATAATGATGCTCTTCATGGTTGGAGGCGATATGGAAACAAAATATTTTTGAGTGAATAAAAAAAAATGAGTTAGGAATGGTTCTGTTTATATATAAGATGAAGATAGAATTGGCATATACGTGATACAAAATGAATATTTTGTAGTTATTATCTCTATAAAAACTGATTAGATGCAACTATTATCTAGTGAAAATAATAAATTTAAAGGTGAAATTATATATAGAATATCTTTCAGAATTGTTGCTTTTAATCCAAAACAAAAGAGAATATCGTGTTTACTTTATAAAAAGTCATGCAATATGTATGGGACCAAGTTATAAGGTCATGCAATAAGTATTGATGCGAATCAAAATCTAATACTCTCTCCATTTTTAATATAAGGTATTTTAGCTAAAAGTACAAAGATTAAGAAAAAAAAGTTACTTTCAAAAAGTTAAATTTAATGAATAAACTAAAACAATACTATTGATCAATTATAAAAAATACGGCATAATACTATTGATCACATAGTATCCAATAAAAAAAAAAGTTACACGATCACATAATATCCAATAAAGACAAAAGTTGCACAGAAATATGAGACCGTTTGTGAAATAAAAAAAACTTCTAAAACATCTTATTTACAAAAATGGAAGGAGTATATATAATAATAGAAAATATGTTGTTTAGAAACAATTGAAGTTTAACACAATCTGAATAAATAAAAAATTTGGATGTATATGAAAACCATGAAAATGAATTTAATATCCAATTACATTTGGAAAATTAGATATACAAAATTTGGAGGAGGTAACAAAAAGAGGTCATTTGCCATGCAAGAAGAAAAAGTTTAAATAAGCTGAATTTTTTAACT